TTTAACATAGCATAAAAATAAGAACAACAAGTTTGCAGCTTTTAGGTGTAATTCACAGTAGAATAACGATGCGACTTAAAATTGAGTCCGATTTCACTAATAAATTGGCAGATAACTCTTAAACTGATAATTTGATTGCAAAACATTGTATAGCAGGTTCGTAGGGATTTCAAAGACCTTTAATCAGGTGGAGATCTTTTTGTGGTGTGATAATCACAACCGGGTATTTTTGGAAAAAATTGAAAATGCTGTTTTCTCAATTTGAAAAAAACGATAATTTCGCAAATTCTTAAAACGTATTCTACCTTTTTAATTTTTGACCTCATATTCAGATTGTGTAGGTTATTTTACATTGCAAATGACTATAAAATTCACGACTTTCAACTATTTTGTTAGAAATTTTTTTCCCAGAGTGCATATGGTTTTCTAAATTTTCAAATGCAACGCGCAAGTACTTAGAGTTATCATATTCGAATAAAATTTTGCACTGCTTATTTTTAGACCAAAAGACATCTTTTTCCACCCGGCAAACCAAATTTTATTTTTAACGAACGGTCTAGTACACACGTTTATAAGTGTCTAATTTGTAACCTTTTACAGAAATAAATCGAGTTAACTTTTATGTCTAAGCCAAAGACTACGTTGCCTAATAGCTTAATTATTAGAACTCGTGTTAAATTCGCAAGCCCTTCGCTATGGCAGGCACCTTCGCGCGGGGCGAGGGCTTAGTCGAATCACTAATCAGACCTTCTAAATCGATAGTGGTGCAACTGTGTGAGTACATGTACTCACCAATTGGACCCTATCGCCTTGATTAGGGCTGCGTTTTGAACGATGACCAAGAGTTGCTAGGTTAGAGCATCCCGAATGGCATTCGGTGCGTCTCGGGAAGTAAGAGGACGACGGGAAGAATACCCTCTGAAAAGCTGGGAATCACCCCGCCGACTCGTCGGCGGCCTGGGCATCGGATGTCCAGGCCCAAAGCTCATCGTCCACTGTGACCGAGACTGGCACCCAGGGTCTCGGTGGAAGTAAGCTACTGGTGGAAGACGGCACATTGACTCTGTCAATGGAGAGCCTACTCCTGAATAAGGTGGAGAGCGAACGGCCATCGAAACTTTCAGGAGCAACCAAGGTTGTGACAGATGTGGAGATGCTAGATGGTCCTTCCCCTTCTTCAAAACGGACACTGGTGTCAGAGATGGAACCTACAACGGTTAAGCCTGGGGCAAACCAGGAGAGTACCGGTACAGAGAAATCATGTATTGGTGATCCTCAAACGGGTGAAAAGCTGACCGCGAGGCAGCTAAGGAGAAGGAGGCAAAAGGAGAAGAAAGCTGCGGCTATGGCCAAAGCGAGTACTCAGAATCCTTTTGTCTCTAACTCTGCACCCGAAATGACAACGGAGAAGCAGGACAAGATGGGTGATGACTCATCTGTTCTAGAACTCTCTTCCGTTGCCAACCAGGGGTCTATGCGAGCAGATGGCAAGTGTCACGAGGCAAA